TTTAACTTTTTACTATTCAATTGTAATGTTCCTGACTCAACAGACTGACATTAAATCTAATTTCTGATCCAAAGTTACTGTTCTCTACTTAACATCCGCGCGTTCAATTATTTGAACATAACCATTCTGAACATGTGAGGGGAGAAGTCTCCTAAAAACTTAATTATTGCATGACAACATTTGACAATGGTGATATAGGGGTCAATATAGTATACAATGTATCTGTGATTAATCTTTTGTTTTTCTTCCATTTCAGCTTACAGTTTGATCCAGCTCCCAGACGAGGCGAACCACATGTCACTCGCAGAACGCCTGACTACTTCTTGTAAGAGATTCACTGTAAAGGAAAACAGAAAACAAATCATTAGCATTCACCACTGTCCGCTGTGTACATTAAAAGTTGGACTGGAAAATTATGGTGAATGAATTGAAATGGTCAAAATAATACATTTCTCTTTTATAGTTGTTTGATTTTTAGACAGGAACACAGACTTAGTAAACATAATGCATAGGGTTTTGTACATTATAGCAAAAGAGACTATACTATGATGAGGTTTGTTTCTATTCGAATGTTACAGAGCTTTGTATCTTGTTTACTTGGTTATGTTCTTTGTGACATTGTATAAATGTGTAAAACCCATGTGAATCCCCAAACTTAGTTTGTTTTGAAAAAAATGTAAAGAAAATGAAACTGAATATTATGTGGGATTTAACTGTATACTGATTTTCAGTGAATAGAATGGGTAATGATTGGCTTGTGTGGCCAAGAATACTTAATATTAATAAATAGATTCTCCTGAAATGAAGGGCTTTTTGCAGCTTCTCAAAATGATTGATAATATAAAAGCAACTTTTTATTTTCCAGTTTGATTTTGTTTTGAATTGATGTCTGGGATTGTGATAAAAACTAGTACTTTATGACAAGGGGTGGGACTTGCTTTCCTTTGTCCTTAGCTTTGTTCATCATTTGCTTCAAGCTTTTGATTATTTCCTTTAGAGAATATAACTGCAAGTATGGATTCTGAGCTTCAATTAGTTTATTTAAAGTGTTTTCTTAACGTTAACAATTGTGAATGACTTGTGTGTTTCTATCCTATCATGCCTATTGCAATATAATGTTTGGATACACTTTAGCATTTTACCAATTGTACGTTAGCATTGTCAACAGCACCATTTTACATTTATGTGGTCAGTTTTTGGTGCGTTGCAGTTATTCATTACCATCGAATTATTTTAAAAATTTGTTGTTGCATTTTTGTCTCACTTGTGGTCTCTTGGTATCTACATCAAACAATGTTTGTGGAAACTCTATTGTTACTGGGAATGGATTTTTAATAAAACCAATTCTTCCTTCATTGTTACCGTGCTTGGATTTAAACTTGCTGTGAATCGTTGTAAATGTATTTCAAACAAACCTAAAATGTGAATTTTCTGCTATGGCTTCTATTTACAGGTTTGAAATGCTACCTGCCAGTGAATTTATACTGTGTTTAGGTGACTGTGTGCTCTTTAAAAAATGAATGTCATCTTCACATTTAAGTGTGTATGCAATCCTTATTTTGTGTAATATTCACTGTCCATTACTAATTTGAATTATGAATTTTTAACAAATTTCAACTGCACATATATTCTCCCATTAATGTGATTGCAGCGTTTGTGTTCACAAAAACAATCAAGTTTGTAAGAAGAAATAACACAATGAGAATTGGATTGCTTGGCTCATTCTTTTCGTATAATATCAGCAATATTAATTAATTTGCTATTTGCATATCTGAAGTTTCATTGTTGTGCTTCAATATTGTACCAAGACACTGACCTGACCAAACCTATATAGGTCTGTCCTGTAACGCTGATTATCAAAAATTTGATTCAACCAATTACAATTTGAGAAAACATGGTTATATTCTGCTAATTTTGGATTAACACTAATTTTACTTTTGTGTGCTTCATAGTTACTATTTTGCACTGGTTGAAAAGTGTGTACCATTCTTTGTTTATATTGCTCATGGCTACCCTGTATTGTTTTAAATTCAGGATGCAGCTAATTGTAGCTGTTGGTATATTATCAAAATAATGCTCCATTATTAATCCAAATTGGCTTGTTTTCCAGGGTGGTGTTTTTTGTAATTTATACCTCAATTTCACTATTGACCTCTCTCATTGAAACTACGGTATATATAAATAGAAATTGGGCTTCCAAGATTGAAGACTTGCAAATTTCCATGATTGTATGCCGAATTGACTGTTATATTTATTTTATTAAATTGTTCAAATAAACAGTTATTGCAGATCAAGTTTGATGGAATATTTGCAAGTTTAGATGTTGATGTTGAGCCATGTTACAATTCTTGGCAAGTTGCACTATTTATAGCATCAATGAGTAGAAGTATAATTAAATAGCCACCCTGGGACACAAGTATCTCTGAATTTATGTTATGAAAGAGCAGGGGAGCAAGCTGGTATCGCTGATATATAACCTAGGTAATGTTTGTTTGGTATTGTAAGCTTTAGCTGTCATTTGTGATAGTCAAACATTCTAGGTAGTCTAACAAAAGGAACCTTGTTTTGGTAGAACTTCCAGGATGCATCTACAACTGACATGAGAATTGTGCAAAACTTGTTTGGTGGTGCATGTTATTCCGAGACTGGTGGACATGATCACCGACTGGATTCAAAGCGACTTCCTAAAGTGGTTGAAATGAATATCCAACTCATTTTAATTTAAAATAAGTCTCATTTCGGTTTTCAAGCCAAATCAGATTTTATGTAATCACAAGTCTGCTACATTTTCCTCTGAATGTGTTCCACCAAAAAGGTCCCTCTCAATGTGTAATTAGAAAGGTTTGGTTAACTTCACATTTGCTAATCCATTGTGATGAATATTTGTGTTCACTCGCCTACCTAAAATGACTTCTCTTGTGCGTAGAACTGCTGTGCTTAGTTTAAAGTTTATTTACATGAAAAATTTCACTATCTGTATTTCATATTTTTTTTTGGATCCCCTTTTGATGATGTGACCCTTTGTAATGCCACACT